ACATTTTACAGAAGTGAATAAGTGACTCACTCAAGGTTACAAAGACAAGTGACACAAGGATTTGAACACAGGTCCTCTAATTTGAAATCCAGTGGTTCTCCCTCTTATTGGCTGTCAGTTCAAATTTCTCCAGATTACAAATGAAAAGACTATGACACTGACAATTATAGAAAGAAATTCAGCCCAGCTGGTTCAATAAAAGGAAAACCATAAATATAATAAATCACGTAAATAACATGAATAATAAAAATCACAATTACATCAATAGATGCTGAAAAAAGTAACAAAATCCAACACCAGTGTCTACTAAAAACTCTAGAAAGCAAGGTCATGTAGATTTTTCTTAATATAATAAATAATAGCTATCTAAAACCAAGCACAAACCATATATATATAAGAGAAAAGTTAGAAGCCAATATGATAAGGGATAAAGCAAAGCTGTCCATTATTACCACTACTATTTAACATCACCTTAGGAATGCATTACAACAAGAAAAGAGAAATTGAGGTAATAAGCATAAACAAAAAGGGAACAAAATTATCCCCTTTTTCACCTGATGTAATTTCCAAAAAAATCTCTCAAGAGTCAACTGAAAATAGAAACAATTAATAAATTCAGTAAAGTTGCAGGCTATAGAATAAGTTCATATTAATCATGACAATTCCTGTATATTGGCAATAAAACCCAGTAGGAAGAAATAGAAACTCCATTTAAAATAACTATAGAACATATCAGAATATACAGAATATATCAAATATTTGAGAATCTACATACAAAGATATATCAGGAACTATATGAACCCCAACTACAGAACATTCTTTGCAGAAATGTAGACCTAAATAATTGGAAAAATATTACTCAGGGGTAGGTCGAACCAATGATAAAAATTCTACCTAATTCTACAATTCTACCCAAATTTACTTATTTAGTATCATACCAAATTTCTAAAGGATTATTTTATATAGCTAGAAAAAAAAATGAAACTTACATGGAAGTAAATATATACATATTGAAGGTATATTTTATTGAATTTTATTGAACTGAATCCCTTTTATTGAAAGGGATGTACAATTGAAGAAGTCTGGAGACTACTTACTGTCCTAGACAACACTCTTACATACTTTATGTATGTGTGTGTGTGTGCGTATGCATATATGTAAGTGTGTGTATGTATGTATATATCCATACACAGAGTTAGGTATATACACATACACATATACTTTCTACATATATAGAAAAATATATAGTATATATACTTTCCATATATATAATATATATACTTCCTACCTATAGTGTATGCATATATACTTTCTGTATATAGTATATAATATATATTATCTATAAAAGTATACATATAAAGGGAAAGTATGTAAAGTATATATATAAAAGGATACACACACATACACACACTAAGAGACAAGAATTTCAAGGGTGATAATGAAAAAACAGGAAGGAGTCTATCAGTATTAGATCTTAAACGATACTACAGAGCACTTATCATTAAAATTATTTAGTACTGGTTAAAGACATAGATGCAAATGCACATAGTAGCACGGTGTTCAATAAACCCAAAGACCTCCAGCGACTGGGTTAAGGCTTCATTATTTGACAAAAAACTGCTGGAAAAAATAGAACACAATTTTGCAGCAATTAAGTACAGAACAAGATTTCACATTCTTCGGTAGATAGATAGTCAAAGAATACAGCAGGTAGTTTTCAATGGAAGAAATCCAAGCTATCAACAACCATTTGAAAAAATGCTCTAAATAATTAGAGAAATGCAAATGAAAGCAACTCTGAGGTTCTGCCTTTCACTCATCAGATTGCCAAAGAAAACAAAAGAAGAAAATAACAAATGTTGGAGGGACTACAGGAAAAGAGGCACACTATTGCACGGCTGGTGGAGCTATGAATTAGTCCAGCCAATCTGGAAAGCAATTTGGAACTATGCTCTCAAAAGTTACTAAATTTGACTCAGCAGTACCATGACTAGGTCTATACTACAAAGTAATCAAGAAAGAGAGAAAAGATCTATACATACAAAAATATTTATAGCAGCTCTTTTCATAGTAGCTTCAAACTGGAAATTATAGGGGTGCCCATCTATTGGGAAGTGACTAAACAAATGGTGGGCATGAATGTAATGGGATATTATCGTGTCATAAGAAGTGATGAGGGTAGGGAGTGAACAAAATTTATTAAATCTGATCTCACTTGATTCTCACAACAACCCCGTCATATAGGTGATAATTATCCCCATTTTACAACTGAGGCAGACAGAGGTTAAGTGACTTGCCCAGAGTGACACAGATAGTATGTGTCTGAGGAAGGAAGTGAACTCAAGTTTTCTTGACTTCAGGCCCAGCGCTCTACCCCCTCCTCCACTTAGGAATGCAGAAGATGAAATGGCCAGCTTCGGAGGAAACTGGGATAACCTTATGAATTGATGCAGAATTAAGTGAGCATAGGAGAACAATATATACAACAGCAACATCACTGAGGAAACTTTAGAACATTTTAGAACTCTGATCAATGCAATGACAAGCCAAGAGGCTGAAGAACTAAAGATGAAACATACGCCCACCTCCTGCCAGAGAGGTAATGGATTGAAAATGCAGAGTGACACATTCACTTCTGGAAATGGCCAATGTGGGAATGTGTTTTGGTGGACTAAGCATATCTGTAATGAGTATTTTCTTTTTCTTCTTCCAAGTGTTCAGTCCATAATACAAAGGTTTAGAGTGTCCAAATCCTTATCATCTTAACATATCCAACAATTCAACAATTCCTAATACGTGCTGAGAATACAAAGATAAAAGTGACAGTCCCTGATCTCAAGGATTTTACATTCCATTGGGTGGTTTGAGGAATGGGGTGGGGGGAGTGTAAGTGGGTAAGGTGGGATGTCATGCCTACTGATTGGGAAATAGCTAAATAAAGTGTGATACATGAATGTAGAGGAATATTACTATACCATAAGAAACAATGGATATGAAAAACATAAAGAGGCATGAGTAGATTTCTAAAAACTGATGCAAAGCTGTCAACTGGATATATTGATTTGTAAGTCACCTGCACAAACATAATAATCAAACTCATGAAAGTAGATAAGATTACCATGGGAAAAATATAAAAAAATGAAAGAAGTTCTAGGACAAAGTATTATAGGCCACACTCACATTTAGTGGGCAGAAAGGTAACGAATCAGTAAAGGAAACAAAGGAGACAGGTAAAGAACTGGGGCGGGGGGGGGGAAGGGACGACAGGGAAGGGTTCTGTGTCACAGAATCCAAGAGAGGTGAGAGTACACAAGCCGATGGTCAACAGTGTCAAATACTACAGAAAAGTCAAGGAGGACAAGAACTGAGTAAAAACATTCATTTAGAAATTAAGAGTTCATGCATGAACTTCAAGAGTTGTGTGTGGTCATTTTACAAGAAAAAAAACCTGATCAGTCCATTCTAACCCCTAAGCCCCACCCAAAACTGGGAACTAGAGCCCAGGCAACCCTCCAAATCATAAGAACTTTCAAAAGGAGAACCAATGTGATTTCCAAGTCACTGAAATAAGGCAAAAAATGTCTTTGAGAAGCTCTTCTTGACTCAAACATTACCTAGGGTCACAACAATGGGAAAATACAGTCTCCTAAGAGGTCCTAAGCCTAGTAGGAATGAAAAGTTGGTCTAGTCTAAGACTTAAAACAAGAGAATCATTGAATTTCTGAGTGGAAGGGGCTTGGAGATCATATCACCCAAATCTTTTATTCAGCATATGAGGCCCAAAGATAAAATTCTAACTTGTAGTTATATGAGTTAAATACTAACTTATAGTACTTTACTCTGCACAATATTAAGTAGCTAAATATTAACTCATAGTACTTTTAAGTTTTACATAGTGCTTTCTTTACAACAGGCCTATAAGGTAAACAGGGTTAGTATTACTATCATTATCACAAAATGAGAAAACTGAACCTCAGAAAGATTGTCTTGCCTAACTAGGTAAGTAAGTTAGTGGTGACCCAGAACTAAAACTCAAGTGTTTTGATTCATGCTCCAGTGGTCAGTTCACTACATCATGCTGTTATTTCACTCTGAACTAATACCAAGAGAACACTGCCGCCTCAAAGGCCGAGGGATAGTGTTACTGTATAATTTCATTTTGGGCAATAAGATCAGGGGAAAAAAAAAAGGTTTGGTTTTTTCCCCCCACGCCAAATTGAGGAATTCCAATTCTACCACAATGAAAGAACAAAAATTATCTTTCATCAAAAATTATCAAGCTATAAAACGGTACTTCAATTATAATTTTGCTTGCTATCTGTACTATCACAATCCCAAAATGATTTTGGCAAGGCACATGGCACAAAGGACACTATACTAGAAATCAGAAGACCTGGGTTCCGATCCAAACTCTGGACACTATCTAACATTTAACTTTTTAGAATCTAAGTTTCCTCACTATAAGAGAAGGTGAGCTGAACTAGACGATCTCTGAGGTTTTAAGAACTATGAGGACTCATATAAGGAATTTGTGCCATTTGGAAGCACTAGCAAGCCCAGCTTTCAAAGATGATGAAGTATAATTTCTCAGACGCCATTTTCTATTTTGACTAATAATGTTCCCACACTCTACATGATTTCTCCTTTGAGGATTTGCACAAGAACTCGATGGGGTACACCACTTTTTGTGGTAGAAGTGGAAACAAAGTAGTTGCCCACTGAACGAGGAATAGCTGAACAAATAGTGGTACATAACATAATGGAATATTACCACACTATGAGAAATAATGAAAAGAAATTTACATGATAACTTTATTATATATTTAAAAGGAATTGCAAGTTGTATATAATAGATCTGCAACTTCATGTGCAATCATCTTTTTAATTATACTATGTTATGGAAATGCTTGTTTTATTCCATAAATTAAAAATAAAATAAATAAATAAAACAGAAACAATGAATATGAAGAATTCAGAGAAACACAGTAAAACTTTGATGAGTACTCACTTCAGCAGCATATATAACTAAAATTGAAATGATAGAGAGAAGATAAGCATGACCCCTGTGTAAGGACGACATACAAATTCATGACTAGTTCCACATTTTTAATTTAAAAGGAAAAAAGACATATGAACTGATGAAGTAAGCAAAACAAAAACATCCAATATCCAGTACATATAGCTATTTTTAACTGCAACAATGGAAACACGAAGAGCAATAACACAAAACTGAAACATACATCATGATAATGACCAACCTCGGCCCTGGAGAAGGGCTGAGAAAACACAACTCCCTCCCTTCATTTCAGAGTAAGATACCATGAGTGTGTAACGTTGCCTATCTTGTTAGACTCAGTTGATGTCTGGTTGGCTTGGTTGAGCTATTTTTTTTCTTTTTTCTTCTTAAGTCTTTGTTACAAAAGAAGAGTGATAGGTAGAGGAGAGTGGGAGACAGTTGTGTGAAAATTAATGCAATCTAAAAACAAATAAAAAGCCCTAACACAAAGTCATTTCTATGTAGATGACTCCCAAATCTATATAACAGCCCTCATCTCTCTCCTAAGCTCCAATCCAACACCTCCAACCAGATATCCCATAGGCATCTACAATTCAACATGGCCAAAACCAGAACTCATTATCTTTCCACCTAAACCTCAAGAACTCAATAGTGTTTTATTACAGTGTACTTATCCTTGTCCCAGGTTCTCGAAGATTTGCAGGCTAACTCTCCAAGATGACAAGATGGATCTCTCATCATTAAACTCAATGTGAAAACAAGACCCCAAACATGATTTTTGACATACCTCCCACATAACAAAGGCTGCTTCATTAATGATTAAAATAGCAGCTGGTAATGGCTTAAAGCAAGTTAGCCAGCTAGACAACCTGGCATATGTTTAAATTCCCTCTCTTCCATTATCCAGCAGTATATCTCCAAAGAACATTCAAATAACTAGTGAAATACACAGGTATTCTACTGTGTGGAATAAAGAAAAAATGTCAGTGAATTTGTAAGAAGTAGGCTACTTTAATTCAATTCTCATAAGAGGTGTTCTGATGCAAAAGACACAGCCACCAGGAATTACATGGAAGTGATAAAAACTAGAAGAATAAATTAAATCAAGGTTGCGTTTGATGGCATGAGCCCCTTAACTATAACTACTATGATCAAATTTTTCCCTACATGTCTCTAAAAAGCTGATACACTGTATTAACTATACATATTTACAGCTGAGGAGAGGATATAACCAAGAGTAGCCTAGTTAACCTATAATAAGTTTAACGCTCCAAGCCTTTGTTCTGGTTTTAAAGGTATCTCCCTATGGCAGGTATGAACATCTCATCTTCACTGATACTATTTTGGGATTCTGACTAGTCAAGTCTAGTCAGTAAGTATTTATTAAGCACTTACTAAGTGTCAGGTATTGTGCTAAACTGCTGGGGATACAAAGAAAAGCAAAAATTAGTTCTTGCCTCCGGAAGATCACATGAGAAACAACATAAAAATAATGATGTACAAGTAAGATATACACAGGATAAACTGGAGATAATCTCAGAGGAAAGGCACTAAGATTAAGGAAGATTGTGAAAGGCTTCCTACAGAAGGCTGGACTTTGGCTAAGACTTGAAAGAAGTCAGAGAAGCCAGGAGGTGAGGAGGGAGACAGTTCCAGGCATAGAGGCCAGGGAGTGAAAATGTCCTGCGGTGAGAGATGGAATGTCTTATGCAAAGAACAGCAAGGAGGCTAGTGTCACCAGACCACAGAATACGTGGAGAGGAGCACAGTGTAAGAAAACCAGAAAGGCTGGAAGGGGCCAGGTTATAAAGGGCTTTAAAAACCAAAGAATTTCATATTTTACAGAATTTTATATTTGATTTTGGAGGGAATAGGCAGCCACTGAAGTTGAGTAGAAGATGATATGGTCAGACCTGAGCGTTAGGAAAATCAATTTGAAAGCTGAGTGAAGAAGGGATTAGGGTGGGGGAGAGGCCTGAGGCCAAGGAGACCCGTCAGCCGGCTACTGCAAATAGTCCAAGAATGAGGTGATGAAGACTTGTACTAGGGTGGTGGCAATGTCAGAGGAAAGAAGAGGGGATATATGGGGCAGCTAGGTGGTGCAGTGGATAGAGCACTGGCCCTGGAGTCAGGAGGACCTGAGTTCAAATCTGGCCTCAGACACATAACACTTACTAGCTGTGTGACCTTGGACAAGTCACTTAACCCCATTGCCTAGCCAAAAGAAAAAAAAAAAGAAAAAGAAGAAGAGGAGATATATGAGAGATGTTATTAAAGTAGAAATGACAGAACTTGACAAATAACTGGCTATGGCAGGGGGAGGGGTGTCAGGGAGAGTGAAGAGTCAAGAATGACACCTTGATTGTGAACTTCGGTGACCTGAAGGATAGTGGTAACTTTGAAAGTGACAGGGAAGTGAGGAAGAGGGAGAGTTTGGGGGAGAGTTGAGTTTAAGATATCTACAGGACATGTAGTTTGAGACAACTAACGTGCAATAGGCAATTGGAGATGTAGTAATCCTGGATGTTAGGAAAGAGATTAGGGTTGGAAAACAGATTTGAGAATCATGATGAGATCAAGCAAAATAATATAGAGGAAGAACAGAAGAAGGTCTAGGGCAGAGCCATGTGGGACACCCACTGTTAAGGGGCAGGACCTAGATGAAGATCCAGCAAAGGAGACTTGAGAAGGAATGGTCCAACAGGCAAGAAGAGGAACAGGAGAAAGCAGTGTCATGAAAACAAAATAGAGGAGATTATCAAGAAGAGGATGGCTGACAGTGTCCAAGACCCTCCCCAAGGAGTCTCTTGGCCCTAAAGACAGCAACTTAGAGAGAGAAGAGGAGCAACGGGCTCTCAAGTTAGAGGAATAGAAGACTGGGCATTTCTGGACAAAAAAACCAGCCCCCTGGAGAGAGGAGCAGAGTATCAAAACCAATGAGAAGCAGGAAGGATCAATCATGGTATGGAGGAGCAATCTTGAAGACCTCTGCCCTCTACTACTACAGTAATTTTTGTGTTTGTCCAATGGGAAGAAGGTGGATTGTACCCTTAACCAGAATTGAAGTGGAACTTGTTAAAATTTTTAAACAAATGTAGTAAAGCTAAGGAACAAAAGTTCTGAAAGATGCCACTGAAGATTCAAATCACTTCAAGATCATCTCCATCTTCTTATCTTTTACTCCAGTTTTGCAGGATAAGGAGACTTTATCTTTACCAATATCAACCCTTCTATTCGTGCCCTTGATCCCAATCCCCTTCCAACTCCTCCAGAAGCCCAATCCTTTGATCATCCTTCCTCTCTCTCTCTCTCTCCCCCTCCCTCCCCTTTATTTTCTTTCTTTTTTCACATTAGTCATGTTGTAAGGAAGAATTAGAACTGATAGGAGGTACCACAAGAAAAAGGAAACAAAAGAAAAGAAAAAAAGAGCAAATAGTATGCTTCAATCTGCATTCAAATTCCATAGTTCTTTCTCTGGATGTGGACAGCATTTCTCATCATGAGGCCTTTGGAGATGTCTTAGATCCTTGCATTGCTGAGAAGGGCCAAGTCTATCAAAGTTAGTCATTGCACAATGTGGTTCTCATTGTGTACAACATTCTCCTGGTTCTGCTCACTTCACTCAGCATCAGTCCATACAAGTCTTTCCAGGTTTTTCTGAAGTCTGCTTGCTCATCATTTCTTATAGCACAATAGTATTCCATTACATTCACATACCACAACTTGTTCAGCCATTTCCCAATTGATGGGCATTCCCTCAATTTCCAATTCTTTGCTACCACAGAAAGAGCTGCTAGAAATATTTTTGTACATGTGGGTCCTTCTCCCATTTTTATGATCTCTTTGGGATATAGCCCTAGAGGTGTTATTTCTGGGTCAAAGCAATTTTTTTTTCAATCTTTATTTTCAATCTTCCCATCTCTACCCACTTTTTTCTTCCTTTCTATCAATAGACCAAAATCATCTGCACCTTTAAAAAACTTTCACTTGACTCTACCATCCTTCTCCCAATTTCTGTCAAGGGTACCACCATTTTTCTAGTCACCCAAGTTTATAATTTCAGAGTCCTCCTTGACTTTTTACTCCCTCACTCCTTTCATATGCAATTAGATGCTAAGCCTTGGTGATTACACATTCTCAACATCGTTCCCATTGGTCCTTTTCTCTCTACTCACATCACAACCACTCTGATCCAGGCTTTTATCACCCCTCACCTGGACTATTACAACAGCCTCCTGATTGGTCTTATATCCAATGCCTCCCCTTGCTAATCCATTCTCCACACAGCTGCCACATTGATATTTCTGAAATTCTGGCTTGCCCATTCTCAAGAACCATCAAGAACTCCCAACTGCCTTTAGGATAAAATACAGATGACTTGGTTTGGCATTTAAAGTCCTTTACAATATGGCTCCAGCCTACCTTTCCAGTGTGACTACACATTACTCCTTCTAAATCACTCCATACTCTAATCCACCAGCTTACTTGCTGATCCCCATGTGTCATTCCATCTCCTACCTCTCTACCTTTGCATATGCTATTCCTCAAGCCAGAAATACTCTCCTTCCTCTTGGAACTCCTGGCTCCTTTATGGAGGACTCACCTCAATTACCAGCCCCTTCAAGTGGCCTTTCCTGATAACCCCAGTTGTTTTCATCCCCTCCCCCAAATTACTTTGTATTTGTGATGAGACATGTTCTTCCTCACTTCCCTCCACCTGGGTCTTGACTGGCACTGCCCTCCCTTGGTGCAGCTTCTTGGTCACCTATGGTCCCATCCATGTGGAGCTGAGACCCCGTCAAGTTGGTGCTTGTCTGAAGGCCACTAGAATCACTACACTTTGCCACACTAACCAGAAGCATACAAGGAGATGGGGAGACAAGTTTATAGAAACTCATATCCCTTCTGTGTTAGAGTAAAGTAAACTTCCTCTTATTAACTGTTTAATGATTTATGAGTGCTTCATTCGGTCCCCAAATCAAACATGGACAGGATGCTGCTTGGCTTTAGGTCCACCCTCAACAGTATACATTATATCTAGTATTTACTTATCTGAAAACATCACACCCCCCAACAGAATTTAAGTTCCTT